GTCAATGCAAACGGGAGTCAGCCAGAGCACCCGATCTTGCAGGATCCTGCAGGGCGCACTGACCCGGGCTTGGGTCCAGGATCTTGCAGGATCTTGCAGGATCATCCTCATTGACCCGGGTTTGGGCGCAGGATCTTGCAGGATCTTGCAGGATTTTGCAAGGCCTGATTGACCCGGGTTTGGATTGATTTGGGCCAGAAGATAGCCGATTGTTTTCTTCCGGGTTGCCTCCGGTTGCCCAGGGTGCTCGATATTCCTCTTAGTTGCCCGCGTTGCTCGGGGTTTCGCGAGGTTGTCCGTGCAATGCCAAGCAGCGCCAAGCACTGCCAAGCATTGCCAAGAGTTGCCAAGGCTTGCCACGTACTGCAAAGCACTGCCAAGCAGTGCCACGCAGCGCCAAGCAGAGCCAAGCAGGCCGAGCACTGCCAAGCGCAGCCCAGCAGTGTCGAGCAGGGCAAAGAACTACAAAGCAGAGGCAAACAGTGCCAAGCACTGCCAAGCAGTGCCAAGCGGTGTCGAGCACTGCCAAGTACTGTCGACCAGTGCCAAGCGGTGCCAAGCCCTGCGAAACACGGCTCAGCACTGCCAAGCATTGCGCCAAGCGCCAAGAAGTGCAAAGAAGTGCCAAGCACTGCCAAACAGTGCCAAGCAGTTTCAAGCAGGGCCAATCATTGCCAAGTAATGCTAAGCAGTGCCACGTACTGCACTGTCGAGCAGTGCAAAGCCATGCCAAGCAGCGCCAAGCGTTGCCAAGCAGTGCCTTGTAGTGCCCCGCAGTGCCAGGCAGATTATAGCACTGCGAAGCAGTGGCAAGATGTGTCAAGCACTGCAAAGCAGCGCCAAGCAGTACAAAGGACGGCTAAGCACTGTCGAGCAGTGCCAAACATTTCCAAGTATTGCCAAGCAGCGCCAAGCAGTGCCAAGAAGTGCTGAGCACTGCGAAGCACTGCCAGAGAACGCCAACCACGGCCAAGGAATGTCACACAGTACCACGCACGGCGAAGCACTGCCAAGCATAGCTAAGCAGTGTCAAACAGTGGGAAACAGTGCCACAGTGCCAAGCAGTACCAAGCAGTGGCACGCACAGACGCGCAGATCCAAGCACTGCCGAGGACTGCCAAGCATTGCCAAGCACTTGCAAGCAGTGCAAACTCGTGCCAAGCACTGCCAAGCACTGCCAAGCAGTGCCAAGCATGGCCAAGCATTGCGAAGCTGCCAATCAATGTCAAGCAGCGCCAACACACTGCCAAGCAATACCAAGCATTGCCAAGCCAGGCGCAATACTGGCAAGGAATGCTAAGTAATGTCAAACATTACCCAGCACTGGTCTGCAGTGCGAAGCAGTGCAAAGCAAAGCACCGTCAGTCAGTGCAAACCACTGCCAGGCAGTGCCAAACAATGCCTTGCACCCAAGCAGTGCCAAGCAAGCTATGCCACGCTCGGCCAGGCGATGTCAAGGGCTACATCACGTATCACCGAGCACATCCGAGTTACGCTTCCAATCAATACAGAGCAACAGTTTAGCAATGCCAGGCAATGCCAATCATTGCCGGACAACGCCGAGCAACGGTTCCAAGCAGCGCTAATCAAGGCCAAACAGTGCCAAACGATGCCCAGATTTGCCAAACGATGCCCAGACATGCAGAGAAGAATGCCAAGCAACGTCGAGGAACTCTGAGCAACGCCGAGCACTGCCAGCCAATGCAAGGTCATGCAACGCAGTGCCAGCTTGGGATTCCAAGCAACGCCAGGCCATGCGAACAAATGCTAATCAATGCTCCGCATTTTCGCATTGCACTATTCGGTATTGCTCTGGACAGAGGGCGCCCCCGATTGAGGTCGTGCGGGGCTCATTGGGGCAAGAGCTCCCTACCTGCTTGTCCCACCAGCCCACCCAGCATAGCGTGGCCGTTCGGGCCCTAAGACGGCTGGGTGATTCTTTGGGATCCCCGGAAGTCTCCCCGAGCCCCACCGGGGAACGTACATCAATTTCACACGCCAAGAGCACATCGATTATACACGTCAATAGCTCACCCGACAACAATACGCACCACGATCGTGCTTAAAGAGCATACCTCGATCACAGTTTCCAGCCATAGACATCAATGACACAGCAACAGCATACAAGCATAGGATACACCAAGGAAACGCCAATGGCAATTACCAAGATGACACAGTTGCAACTCTGTGCATCTCCACCTCATAATACTCAGGGCAGACAGCACTAGCACACATCCATGACGAACGCCAAGACAATTCGTCAATACTGGACACGACGAACTTGTAAACATACAATCAATAAGCCAAGACAATGTAATAACCACGTTCATGACGCCGTAAGTCCAAGGCCATACATGAGGAGCGGGATCATGCACGCAGACCGTCCCCAAAACATATGCCAACGCCATACACTAGTAGCGCATCCCAGCAGCATATCTGAAGAACAGACACCGGCATCGCATCAGTAACACTTTACACCATACACCGGAACAATGGGCCAATCGAAGACATCACGACCACACACCAACCAGATGCATCTATGATAGACGTCAACCGCATGTTGGTAACGTCGACCACCAACATACAATTTCACATGCTCAACACGTTCGCATCATGACCATTGTCGCGTGTGTCAGCAACCTACCCCAACAACATATAACAATAACAGGCACGATGGCCGCGTTACCATGTTTGAAAGCACGGTTTGTTACCACTAACATACAAGTATGTTGTGAGGTCATGATAGGCAATTGTGCAGCCGTGCCACCAACATCGAAACAGTTGACATCAGCAACACCTTTTTAGAAACACCCGTACAACAAGCACGAGCGTAACCACGCAATAGTATGAAGCATCACAGTTGCACACACGCATGCGTCACATGTAATTGCGCCCGCATTCCCACACGGACCATGATTCGCAGGTGTCAAGCAGATAGAGCACACGAGACAATCGTTCATTGACACTGATGTATAATGCCACACTGTAGACTCATTCCCAACGTACTTCAACTACGTGTGCAAAGAACTTGATGTCATGGTGTTCGTCCCTCCGCTTGGCGTTGGCCTCTTCGTGCTAGCTCGACTTGTTCTCTCTCTGACGGGCAGGGGCAGATACAATCCCCTAGTTAGGCTTGGGAAGGTGCCTTGTTTCTCTTTGCAGGACGGTGCCTGCACACAGTGCGGTGGCTCTTATTTCTCTTGTAAGGAATGGCGCCTTGTTGTCGGTCCCGGGAGCGTTGTCACGATTTTGATTGTGCGAGGCTCGCACTTTGCATTGTGTTGCACTGCTTTGCATTTGTATTGCATTGACTTTCAACGCTGCGCATTGCTTTGCCTTTCTTTGCGTTGCGTCGCATGACTTTGCACATCATCGATTGCACCGCATGGATTGTACCACCTGGGTTGTACCATATTGATTCTCCTTTCTAGAAAGAGAATGAAACTACCCCCCCCCCGGGATTATCGACCCCCCGCTTTTCATTGCAATTTTGATATGATTCTGCCCCAACGTCCATCCTAAATATGTGTTCGTACCATCCCACACAGGCCAGTATCGACCCACCCCCCGTCATCCTCTGCAGAACTATGCGCGCGCATTCGGTTACCACAAATCAGAAGTTTGCAAGCGTCCCTTGCAACGAATATGACGACGTGCACACGCGCTTGTCGTGCCGCGCGCATGCCGAAACCTTTCTGGTTTCTTAAGGATTTCAGTATCATGTGTCCAACAAACATATGAAAACACATGGTTTCTCACATCACGGATTTTCAAACAAAAAGACGAGCGCGCGCGTTCCTTATGAAAGCCATATGTTTTTTGAACATTGTCAGGAAGTGCTGCCAAACGGCTTTTCAACGCGCATGTCGATCGAACGCCCTTGCGCGCGTGCCGTCGCGAGAGTCCTTTGACACAAATTCGGCGAGGTGCACGCGCGCGCGGTGTCGCGCACGCGTGCCGGAATCCGTCGAACACTTGCGTTTTCGTAGCGGTTTCAAAGCCGAATGTCAAACACCATACAAGAACATATGGTTTCGCAACATTAGTTTTCAAAAACACGTGCGTTCACGCTCTTGCGCATTCTTCAGAAAACCACAGTTTTTTCCAACCTGTTCAGGGAATTTTGCCACACAGGCCTCTGGCGCCGCATGCCGACATCATTCGCACGCCCTTGCGCGCGTGCCGGGGGGGGCACGATCCGTGCCGAACAAACATTGCGGACCACTCTCGCGAGTCGGTCGCGCGCGCATGTCGAACTCTTTCCAACAGCTTCATCGCCGACGCGATGACGCCGTCATCGTCGTCGGCGTGATCAGCATCGCGCTCGCACTGGCCGCGCTTTCGTCGGTGTCAACATCATCACCTGCATCGCTACTAGCATCATCATATATACCATTGTCGACGTTGCCATGGTACCGTGCCCGCCCAAGCCGCCGACTCGCAGTGAATTTCCCGCAGGGATGCGCCCAGCGGTCACCATCACCGCGGATGCGTCTGTGGCGCCAAACTAGTTGGCCGCTGCGCGCGCGTGCTAGGCATGGCGCGGCCGCAGAGATGCACCAACCAACGCCAAGCATGGATCGCAATCGCCACCGCATGGGTTTTGCACACCAAGTTGCGGGTGGGTGGGTGGGAATGTTTGCAAGAGCGTGGGATGTGTCAACCCGGCTGTCAAAATCAGTCACACCACCGAGGTTGTACCGCGTGCATTGTAGGAACTCGTGGTTTTGGGTACGCTGGTTGACAGGATATGTTTCATCTGTCATATGTGATAATGCATGACCCACAATGAACGCAGTATGCGTATATTCCCGTATGGCAGTTTGAAGTACCAATGGAATTTGGTACGGTGCAAAGTTTGTGTTCCAGAGGTCCACCACGTGGGCGACATGGGAAATGTGCTCATTCGAAGCTAAGGCCTAGGTTTGCAAAGCGTGAGTCATGAATAATGTTATGACATGTGATACGTAGTTGCCGCAGTGGTTTTTGAATGTGTGCAGGACAAGAAGAAGAGAGACGATAAGATCGTGCAGAAGAAGGAAGAGAAGCCACAGGCATCCCGATCATTGCGCGTGTGTGTTGCGCTCGCTGGCCAATTGCGCTCAATATTCCCAGCCCACTCTTCCGTTCCGGCCTAGTGTAGTTGAGCACCACGCTTGCCGCGATTTTGGATTGTTAATGGATGGGGGATGAGGTGTCGCTCGGGCATGAGAGAAGAACTGGTTGGGTATATTGGGCGTTCCAGAGCCTCGCCGGTAGCTCGCTGAGATTGATTCGCAAAAGTGCGCGAGGCTTCTTGGAACCTCTCGAGTGAGAAGGCGGACGGCGATGGTGGTGGAAACATATCCCTCCTCATTCCAGTCTTATCTTCCTCCTCCCCCGACCTTTCCTGAGGCGGGCATTGCGAGCCCAGCGAATGTTAGGCATGCTGAAGCCCTCTCCACCTTTGCGGGTCCGCGCTTGAGAGGGGAGGAACAATCCGTAGCCAATGTGGCTCAAGTCTGCAGGCTTAGCTCAAGGACCAGAGATTTTTTGGCGAGGGGGTTCGAGGCCCCACCAGCGCACCGCAGACAGCCCGTTCACTGTATTGCGGTTGTTCCGTGTCGTCTTTCATTACGTCATCGGTTTAGCTTAGAAGTTAAAGATGCGATCCATTTGTTACAGAAGGTTGTCGGGGTTCCCTCGTGCTCGCCGAGTTTCCGATTGCCGACCTGCCAGGTGAGATGCGTGCTCGGGTGGCCTAGTGAGGACGGAGGGGGGGCGGGTCGGGAGGGCCGTCACGGGCCCCAGTGGCCTGAGGACCATGGGAGCCAGGACCCCAGACTTGATGCGGATGCCATGCGCAGAGTGCCCAGGACTCACAAACATACGCTCTGCGTGCTCCCAGGCAGCCTCCAATGCTCGATGACTGCGGCATCGGGGCCTCTATTGGTTTGATCGCGCTGTGCGAAGTTGAAGAAGATAGCCCACCAGCGGGGCAAAAATCATGTTCCTCCGGGAGGCTCGGAGGTCTCCGCCACATCGTTTTCCTTGCTTTTGTGGCGCGTGTGCGGTGCGGGCTTCGACGTCCTACCTTGGTTGCTTTGGAGAAAAATCGCGAACGTTCCTCTTTTGGGCCAGCACAGGCAAAGCTTGTATCCATGCGGTTCGGCAGGGATCCATGTGTAACGAATGGGCGTCGGTCCAGTGGGGCCAAAGATCAAGCTCCTGAATCCTGGGCGTCTGCTTCGATTTGTCTGGATCTATGGAAGGCATTTGACATTGTTTGGTACGGGCACGAGCGTCTCGGCGCCGCCATGTTCTACGTGCAAGTTTCCCCTTGATGGCAGTTCACGCTACGTAGTTCATTATCCCGCGCCCCGAGGCACTTGTTATTTCGCTGTGCATGGCTCCGTGAGCACGTCCAAGCGGTGCTCCCTGGGCATGGCCCTGCTTTTGCGCTGGCCCGCCCCATTGTGTTCGAGCCTTGTGACGCTTGGTTTCGCGTGTGCAACGGTGCGCAGACAACCGTCGTCGCGGGCCAACGCCATTGTCCAGGGGCAAGGGGCAGAGCATTGCAGACGCGTTTTTGAGGATATGCTGTCTGTCGCCTTTGCCCTTGCCTTGACGAGCAGCATCTTTCTATTGCCATTATGAAGGTGGCCGTCTTGTCCACCGTTCAAGACGTTCGAGCCCACTTCCTTGGAAAGCGCACGCGGGCGTCTGGAATGTGCGGCCGGGAAGACTGAGCGTAGTATTGGGTATGACGTTTCTTCCAGCAGGCGTGTTGTCGTTCGGTTTCACGTTTCGCGATTGGTTGGCATGCGCGCGCGTGCAGTGAGCGCGCAAGTTCAATTGTAAAGACGCTCGCTCCCATGTCGCCCGCTGACTGGTGCAAGCGGGCCTCAAGGCCTCCTTCCTTCACGGCGTCGGCTGCACTGGCTTTGCAATTCAGCAGTTCTTTTTGCGCGAACTACCATGGTCCAAGCTTGCGAAGCGTCGCAATGCGGGGAGGTCCCGCGTGCCCAGTCTGATGATGCAGGGCCGAGGCCAAATTGGCCCCGTCTTGAGGGCGACAGGAGCCCTTGTTGAAGCTATGGACTCGGCCCTGTGGCAGCGCCGCCCCCAGCCCCTCCGTGCATGGGGGCCCGAGACCACGTGCGAACCTGGGCGGACGTTCAGAGACCTTCTGGTGCGATCGCTCTGTATCTAGCCCGCGTCGGCTGAATCTGGTGAGACCTCTTTGTTTGGAGGTCGCGCGCTGGCGAGCTCATCGATTTTCAATACGTTTGCCCACGCAGCGCTTCCTAGCTAGTTAACGGAGCGGTACTCAACTGGCAGTAGTTGCACGTCGCCCTTTGAGGATCTGCACCGTCTGCGAGGTAATGGATACTTCGGCTTCCTGCGGTGGTTCAGCCAACGCTATTCACCCCCTCTGGCCCTGGCTGGCGCGTGCACTGCGCTCCACGTGCCCGAGAGGGCCTACCTCAAGCGCGTGATCGTCGACGGGCAGTGGCTCACGATACGCAAGCGCGCTGCGCGCAATATTATTCGCGCGGAGTGCCTCAAGCGCCGTGGTTGCGGCACGCTTTTGTCATTGCGGTCGTCTTTGTCAGGAGTCCTGGCCAGACCTCGTCATACCATTCGCTGTTGCTCGTTTCGCGCGAGGATGTGCCCAGGGCTCGCACACTCGTCGAGCGCGTGCTTTGGCCTGCCCTTTTTTCAATCTATACTGCGGCCTTCCCCTTTTCAGTCTATTTGGCGGCAGACGCAAGAGCCCATCAGGAGCGAACGTGCGAGAAGATAGCACGTTTTCATGTTCATGTGGTTTGTAACGGATGCTGGCCTCTCGGGATGGTCCTTGAACATGTCGGTCGCTATTCGGAGCCGTCTCGTGGCTGTCATAGTTGTTCTTGGAGGCATGCTGGCAGCCATTTTGAATCATCTTTGGGCTAAGTTGTGCGATCTTCGATGCCATCTGGTGCTATCTGGGGCCATCTTGGGCCATCTGACGTCTCGCGGCCCCTCCCCGTTCAGACCCTGGGGAGGAGGGGGAGGAAGGGGGAGGAAAAACATGAGGAGGAGCGAGGGGGGGGAGGAGGAGGAGGAGGAGGAGGAGGAGGAGGAGGAGGAGGAGGAGGAGGAGGAGGAGGAGGAGGATGAGGAGCAGGAGGCTGATGAGCAGGGGTATGGGGAGGGACCCCTCCCCTCCATCCGCATCCGTGCGCGAGGTGGCCGCTCCCGAGGAGACCGTGCAGCAAGCAGAGGAGAGCGGGCCTCCCAAGAAGAAGAAGGGTGTGGGCGGCGCGCCCAAGAAGAAAAAGTGAATGAGGCCCGCCTACGACGATGTTGGGGAAGGACAGGTGGACAAATACTGAGGGAGGGAGGTAGGTGGGAGCAGGTGTAGGCATGATGGGGACGTGGAGGGATGAGGAGAAGGAAAGAGGAACGAGAAGCGAGAGAGGACAACGGAAACGGAAGAAGAGCGAGCGAGCCGTGCCTCATCGTCGCCGTGGTCACCGTCGTCTGCGTCGGCGTCTTGCTCATCCTCCCCTCCCGTGCCTGTCTCCTAGCTTCAACTCATCCCTGTTCCCTTGTTCCTCCTCCTCTTCCTGCCGCTTCGCCCTCCCTCCTCCCACCCTCGCTCTGACCCCACGCTTCCCCTTCCCCCCATTTCCGAGAGTTAGCGCTTGACTCCAACCCACGTCCACAACTACGAAGAAACCATCCCCCCTTCCATTCCCGCCTCGAGGCTGGCACGGGAGATCGCCCATGCACGCGTGGTGTCCGTTGTTGCGCACCGCGCGGAGGTGGAGCGACGGCCCGAAATCACCCCGCCTTCCTTGGCGGCCCCTCCCCACCCTCATTGTGCAGGGGGTGAAGGGCTGGGGGGAGACGACCTTTAGGGTCGTCTCCGCGGGCTCGGGCCCTTCCTTCGCTCCTCTCCTCTCTCTCCTCTCCCTCCTCGGGACGCTGTGCTGAACGAAGAGTCCGAGAGAGAGCCCGTCCCTGCCCCCCGCTCCCCCCTCCCTCCCCCCCCCCTCCCTCCCCGCGTCTGCGCCAGCTGCGGCAAGAGACCACACGGACGAGGGGGGCCGGTGCGGCTTCAGGGTGCCCGCCGCCCGTGCTGCCGCCCGCGGTGCTGCCCGGCGGCCATCCTCGAGCGCTTCGCGGCACCCGCCCCCAGTCGCAGTCGCGCCGCCTAGGCGGGTGCAGCGCCTGCAGAGCAGCGCCTACAGGCACGACCCCTACGTCGGGCGTGTCACTACACAGGAAGAATCTACACAGGAAGAATAGTACGTGGGCGGTTCTTTGTTTTACCCTTTCTTTGATTGGTTTATGTTTGTTCATGTTCATCTTCATTTTTCTTCTAAGCTCCGCCTGGAGGAGGACATGCCCGACAAAACGCTACCCGCGGTGCGAGGGCCCGTAGGACCTACAGGTCGGAGGCGCCCGCAGAAGGAGGAGCGCTGCGTAGACGCAATGGGTCATCTCGCCCCCCTCTCCCCCCTCAGTAATTGCACAGTTCCCGCCGGGCGCTCCTGCTGCCGTTCTTCCCCGCATCGTCCTGTCCTCGTCGAGCTGCGTGCGTGCTCCCGTCCCCTCCTTCGATCCTCCCCCTCTCCTCGCATCGTCCCGATGTCGAGCTGCGCGTTCGCTCCAAAACTATCCTGCGACACTCCTCCTCTCCTCTCTCTCTCTCTCTCTCTCCCCGTCTCCCCTCTCCTTTCGTTTCCCCCTCCTGCGATCCCCCTCATCACTCTCTCTCCCTCTCTGTCTCTCCTCGTCTCCTGTCTCGTTCTCTCTCTCTCTCTTTCTCCTCATCTCCTGCGCCTCCGCCTGCGTTCTCCTCGCGAGCGCCGGGGTCGTGCCCGCCCCTCTCCCGGTCGCGGAGGGAGCAGCCTCGGCAGGCCTCCCCCTCCTACCCGCCCCTCCCGGCCCCTGCGCCCTCCCCCGTCCCCCCGGGGGCCTCGCGCGCACCCCTCTCATCGTCCCCCGAGCCCCCCGCCCCCCCCGCCTTCCCCTGGGCGCCCCGCCTCCCCCTGCTCTCCCTCGGGCCTCGGGCTCGCGGTGCTCCTCTCCGACCCTCTCCTCCGTCTCACCCCCCCCCCCCCCTCCCCCCTCCCCTCCCACGCACGCGGGATCGCGCGAGGAGGAGGAGGAGGAGGAGGAGGAGGAGGAGGAGGAGGAGGAGGAGGAGGAGGAGGAGGAGAGAAGCAACACAAACGGGACGTGGAGGAAGAACGAATGGAGAAGTAGAGGCCCTCCCTCTTCTTCGTCGACTGGTGAACTGGTGAAGTGGCGAACCACCGTCGTTCACGCACAACTGCGACAATCCGAGCAAGACATGGAAGGCAAGCCACCTGGTGCGTCTGCTGAAACATGCGCACATGACAGGAGACTGTTCAAGTCGTCGGCCGCTTGACGTTGCATCTTGGCCCAACCCCAATTCAAGCCCCCAGCACCTCTTCAATCCTTGAATCCCAGGCGACCGCGATGGCGAGAGCCTAAGAGGACTCGAGCCACAGGGAGGGCAGGCAGGTGTGGCTTTTGCAACAGAACACAACACATTGTGGATGTTGTTTGATTGACTCGTCGAGAATATGTTGGCGGCCAAAGAATTGCCGTCGGTGCACACACGCTCCGTGATGCGTATGTAGAATTTCAATGTGACGGTGCTTCACGGGCTCGTCGCGCATGGCAGGCGCGTGCAATGCACGTTTCCGCCAGCGTTCTGGGCGGAAAGCAGGTCGGCTCCCGCCGGGCCCTCAGTCGGACAACAAGTGGTTGCCGGCTTTGGCGTGCCCTCTGCACTCTGGTGATCGCTGCAGCGGCACTTCAATTTTCGGTGTGCAGCACCTTTGGTCTTCTGGCAGCCCCGCGCATGATTCCGTGTGCGGTGGCATTTGGTTTTCCCACGCTTCTCTCTTCTTCGAATTCCTCACTTTAGCCCCCCAGTCTTCCTTATCGCGCGAACCAGTGCCATCTTGGAACAGTATTACAGACCTCAATCACATCCGCCTCATCAAGAGTTGGCGGAGAAAATCCCTAATTACTGGAATGGGAAAGGCGACGGGAGCAAGCAGACGACGAGACAAGGGAGAGCAGACATAATTGCTGAGTTTGATGCCGATTCGAACGCTTCTTCCATCAGCCGAAACCTATCGGCAACAAGGACACCCGAGCAGCAGCAGATCACACCTTTCACGAGAGTGAAGGTCACCACCGCAATTTCACAGTTCAAGGGCGGCACAGCACACGACACTAGCGGAATTCGGGCTGAAATGCTTCAGCGACCAGGAAAGGGGCTCCAGCGTGCCGCATTGAAGCTGTACAGCGCTATCATACGGGCAGACGTCCCCACGCCAGCTGGCTGGAGAAATACCGACCTTTTCCAGCGCTTGTACCAAGACCAAACGGCCGTGGTCCGCACCGACGCTACCAGCAAACTATTCGATTTCCGACGCGGCGCAAATCAGGGTGATTCCCTAAGCCCATTGATGTTCAACACGCTAGTAACGCACGTCTCAGCACCAGTGATCCCAGACTGGCAGAGACGACACTGAGGCGTCCAGCTCGGTCACACCGACGAGTCGACACTCACGAACCTTTGGCTCGCAGACGACATCTTGCTGACAAACCAAACGCCGTGCATTAAAACGAAATGCTCTGTGACCTCATCACTCACCACCTCAACCAAGCTACGCGGATTGCACCGGACCGAAGCAAAGAGCAGCACCAACAAGCTTCGGCACCGCGACTTGGTGTCAAACTTAGCAAGGATGCTAATCGAGATATTGCCACCAACCAATACCATCACCTGCCTGGGCCAGACCATTACTTTTCACGACGCCCCCGAGGCAGAGGTAAACCACCAGATTCAAGCAGCATGGGCATGCTTCAGCGGGCAAAGACAAGGATCACCACCAAGCACTGCCCCCCAGGACACCGACAGTGACTGCACATGGGCAACATTGTACTTACGTCGATGTATGGCAGAGAAACGTGGACTCGGACAGAGCCCCTCAAACAACAGTTATGCCGAACACAGCAACGGAGGGTAGAAATGATACCAGGGACGCCAAGGAAATGCACGGCAGCGGCACCGACGCCGCACCGCAATCCAGCAACATTGCCCCAAACAACTCCAGCGAATCCGACATGGCTAGCAAACCGCATGCCCAGCAATTCAACGAGCAGGACGACGACAACCACGACGAGGACACGCAACTGGGTACTTTGCAGGACGACGACGTCGAGTTGTGGTCCGACTGCATCCGCAGGAGCAAACGGAGGGCAAAACATTGTTACTTTAACATGACAGACTTGATTTGGCGATCGGCGAATACTGTGGCTCACCACCCCATCACGCTGGACGCTAAGGGGCGATATTATTTGTACCCTACAGTGCAACATTCGGCAACGAGTGGCGCCGGCAACATGGAAATAAACCCAGACGTGAGCTCGCTTACAGATCACACGGTTGTGGCCACGGCTTCCACGCCATGCCCAAATGGGAACGGGCGGGTTCCTCCAGGGCAAGTGCACGACTCCAGCGTTCGCTTCGCTTCGCTTAGCTACCTCCTTATAGCTCAGGAAGAAGGGGACGCAGACGAGCTTCTGTACAAGACAGGCTCAGGCCTGGCTATATGTGCCACGGCGGCCAGTGTCGTCAAGTTTGCTGAGTTTACCATTCCTGTTTGTCGCCCCTCTCAACGTCCCTTTGCTTGTCCTTACATCAGACACTTGGCTTTCTCGAGGTTGCTGTCAATAGCCATTCAATGGGGCAGATTGTAGGCGCCTGAGGGTGCGACACCAGGTGGTGTATGACAGTGCTGTCTGCAAGCTTGGAATCACAGGGAATGATTTTCCCCAGAAGAGAAGCGATGAGGACGAGGAGAAAGATCAGCAGGTGCAGGTGAAACAGGAAGAAGGAAGCCGAGGAAGTGGAGGGAAGGAGGATTCAAGGCAGGTAGGCGGAGGAGGACAGGAGGAGGGAAGGAAGAGAAGCGATGAGGACGAGGAGAAAGATCAGAAGGTCAGGGGGGAGGAGGAGGAGGAGGAGGAGGAGGAGGAGGAGGAGGAGGAGGAGGAGGAGGAGGGGAGAAGGTGGCGGATAAGTTGGGGAGGAAAGAAAAGAGCTCACCGCCCACATTTGGAGGGTCCCCCCGATGTGCAGGGACTGGTGGATTTTGTGACACCTTAGGGCCTCATTGCCGTCTCGCCCTGCATCGTCTGATCACCGCTCGTATTCTGTTTCGTTTTCCATTGCTCCTCTCGGACCGCGGCCCTGTCGAGGGAGGATGTTGGATTAGAAGGGGGATGA